GGGTCACAGGCTGGCGGGGCTGTGGAAAGTGATTTGGACCTAAATCCACCCTTTTACTGCGTGCTAAGCACACACCTAGGAAAGGGCCCCACCTGGTGTTTGGGCACTGAGCAGGAAGACACACGCATGTGCACACGCGCACGCACCGGTACACACGTGCCGCGTGCTCGGTGCTCCCATACATCTCTGAACCTAATGGGCCCCAACTCCATCCCAAGCAGGGGCACACAGGTGACCTCAAAGGGTAACTTTTAGTAGAACAATTCCAGTCAGGAGAGAGGGGAATTTCACAGGACCACTGGGGCCCAGGGCTAAGCCCTGGTGGTTTCACCTTAGTAACCCCAGCAGGACTTTCATTCTCCAGCAGCAGGCCAGGGCAGGGTGGCCACCGGCCGGACAGACAGGGTGGGATGGCAGTCCTGGAGGCACATGGGAGGGTGGAAGCTGCCAGGACGGAGTTTGCTCAAGGACTTGTATGCGAGCCACCCGGGGCAATGCTTCGGCTTGGTGTTTGTTTCCTGAAAGTCCTGACAGCTGGCTTTGCTGCCCTGCGTCTCGTGCCTGTCCTCCACACAAACATGACACTCTAGCTAGAGAAAGAAGTGAAAACACAGGCAGAGGAAGAAGGGAAGGAAGGAAGGAGGGGGAAGTGGAAGGAGAAAGGGCGGATGATTTTCTTTTGTGCGGCCCGTGGTCCTTGGAATTGGCCCTCAGGACTCAGATTCTATTTTACTTAACAGGATTGCATGCTTCCTGAATCTGGTTCTTCCTGTCTCCGTGGAATGGCTTTTATCTCCCAGGAGCTGAGGAAGGAGGAGGAGGAAGTGGAAGGAGAGTGGAGGAAGAGGAAAGTTCTCCCGGGTGCTGAGACTGGAAGCCCCAGTTCTCTCACATACCCAATTCTGGACCGACGAGGACCGCCGGAGGCTCCACATAGTGCCCTATGAGAAATCAGAATTGGAAATCACTTCTGTTCAAGATATGAGCCCCGGGGGCCGGGGATTTAGCTCAGCGGCAGTGCCTGCCTGGCAAGCGCAAGGTCGTGAGTTCGATTCCCAGTACCGGAAACAAAACAAAACAAAACAAAAAAATAAAGATACGAGCCCGATGATGGTGCAGTGACAAAGAAAGGGCAGGACACATTATTCAAGCTGTAGCAGCCAGTGCTTGCTAGAGAAACACATGGAATACAAGATACGCAGATACATACGAATGTACAGATTGGCTTACGGTGGCTGTCCTCAGAGTCGAGTGCGGAAGCGGGCAGGAGGGCTGTCTGTGCACTTGGGATCCAAAGGAGCCAGTCAGAGGCCTGGAGCTCCGTGCGGTGTCCCGTGGAGTCCGCGCCGGGAAGCTGGAGGCTCTGTGCTGGAAGCCAGGAGACGATGTCCTTGAAAGTGAAGGACATCACTTTCAAGGTGAAAGTGAAGACTGGAGCGCCTCTGAAGAGAGAAGCAGCCTTCTTTCCTTGCTTCCCTTTACACTGTCCTGGAGACGGTTCTCCCTAGGGTGGCTCTTCCACACCCGGAACTACGCTGAGCCAAGCACTCACTCAAGTTGGCACAGCTGAGTAAGGCGTCACTCAGGCTGGCACAGTCAGTCAGCCGCCACAGGCACTCAGCAACGCTTTCTTCTGGTTGCTGAAGTACTGAAACACGAGCTTGTTCCCTGTGACCAAGACCAGCTCCTCAAGCCCCCTGAGGGTCCCCACGGTGGCCTTGGCGTGCCCAGGCTACCCCAGGGTGCCCCTGGATACCCTGTGCTGGCTCAGCCTCCCCGGCAATGCCGCATGCTGTGGGTGCTGCTGTTTTCATGTGACCCGTGGAACTGGAGATGGGCAGCGGGGACTGCCACGTGAAGGCGGAATACAACAGAGCTTCCGGCCGAGAGTTGGAGGTGAAGACAATGGCTGCATCCAGAGCCAGCCCGAAGCGCGGCCCTCCCTCAAGTGCAGAATCGGTGACAAACACAGGACAGCGCGCCATCTTCTGTCTCTGACGTGCACGGGACCTGGAGGGTTGTGGAGTTCAGTGATTCCTGGCTGGGGGCTATTTGGCTAGACAGACTGAGATATCTTGAGGATGAGGCCCACGTCAAAACATAAATTCACTTGTTTCTCACAGGTGTCCAATTTATCATACCATATTTTCAGTGCACCTGTGTTTTGATTGTCACCCACTGGGTGAGGTCAGGTAGTCTTCGCACTTGCGGTGTCACTGGCATTCCAAAAGCTTTGGATCTGCGGGAGTTTGGATTTTGGGGTGAGGGCTGCTCAGCCTCTACTCCGCTGTACAAATGGTAATAACTTCAGGGAAGCAGCTCAGCATCGAAGGATGCCGCAGGCAGGGGGCGTAAACGAGTCCAGCACACATGACCGGCAGTTAGGCGGCGCACACTGGGCATCTTACACGTGGACGATGAAGGGGAAATTAGAATCTCTGCCCTTCGCTGCACCTGCTTAAGGCCGATGTCAAGGGGGAGGGCATGTGTGACGGCCACCTTGGTGCTGCTGCTGAAGCAGAAGTTGAACGGGAAGTCGTTAGTCCAGACTGGTGGTGGACACTTTGGTCACTGTCATCCCTGCTGACATGGCGGTGTTCAGAAGAGCTGTCATTCTCTACATGCTGGCGAAGGTCGTTACGATTTAAATCTACATGACCCCAAGAGTCCCACGCACTCATAGTCGGGGCTTCTAGCAGGTGACTGAATTATAGTGGCGTATAGCTGGCTTGCTGTGAGGAGGTGGGACTCAACTAAGGGTCCCTGGGGATGTGACCCGGAAGGGTTTCCCTCCCTTCCCATCTCCTTCCTTTTCTCAGTCTGCTTCCTACCTGCCAAGCTGTGAGCATCCCTCCTCCACCAGGCCTTCCTCTATGCCTCCTGCTTTGGAACTGGCTGACCATGGACTGAAGATATGAGCCAAAATAAACCTGTCCTTCTTTAATTTGTCAGTGCTGGAGTTGAGTCTCAGTGCAAGAAAGTGACCAAGACAGAGGGGAAGCCCGGAAGTCCCACCCCATTTCCCACCAGGGAGTCTCGCAGGTTCTAGTGGAGCACCCCGGGTGCACTGTCCTTGTGTGCATGGACAGAGCTGGGGGCTTGGCCTTTGGTGGGAAATAAGACACATGGTGGAGACCAACAGAGGACTAGGGGCCAAGTCTAAGTCCAAGCTCAGCCACTGAACCTCCATGAAAATTTATTTTAAAGATGACTTTCTTTCTGATTCAAAATTATACAGTCATTCTGAAACATAACAGTCCAGAAAATTATGAGACATGAAATGAAATCTACCCATCTCCCACCACCCAGAGGTGACTTCCCAGGATCTATTTACCGAACATTTTGTTTTTCTGTTTGTGTAGTTAGAAAATGCCTTCGTAGAACAGAGTTCTAGATAAGGAATTTCCACATCAAATGATATGCTCATTTTAATTTTAGCAAATATTGCTAAACTGCTGTATTTGTCAAAGTGGATCTGGATTTTCCAGAAAAATAGAACCAGTAGGAGGTAGAGAGGAGAAAGTGAAGGAGAGGGAGAGGGACACGGGGAGAGAGAGAAATTTCTGATTATTGGGTCAGTTGGTTATGAAGACTCAAGTCTATTGCACCAATGTCCAGCTCAAGTTCAAAGACCAGCAGGCTGCTTTAGAACCAGGAAGAACTGGCAAATATTCCATCCTGATCACCGTGAGGCAAGAGAATTCTCTCTCACTCAGGGTAGGCAAGACTTTGTTCTAACGGGATCTATTCAGGTTCTTGTTTAGGTGAGAACCACCCACGTTATGGAGGGTGACCTGCTTCACTCAGTCTCCTAGCCAAATATTAACCTCATCCAGTCTCCCAACAAAGAAGTACCCATAGTAAAGTTTGATGAAATAGTGGGTATCCTGCAGTCCAATAAAATACCTTTTAACCCTGTACAGATCCCTACTTTATGATTTAGGATTCAATTTAGGATTTTTTAGAAAGCTTTACAATGATGTGAATGCAATCCATAAAAACCGTACTTCAATTTTTAAATTGTTCCCAGGCTAAGGATATGGAGCAGAACGCCCTGCCACGGCACCGGGCAATGGCCACAAGCACAGCTCCCGGGCAGGCACACGATCACGAGGCCAGCATCTGTCTTAGCGCACTCTCTGCTGCTCTGGAATAACCACAGACTGTGCAGTTCATAGACAGTAGTTTATTTGTTCAAGGTCCTGCAACTTGGGAAGTCCTAGATCAAGGGCCAACATCTCATGAGGGCTTTCTGGCTGCATGAGAACGGGGCAGACAGGCAGGAAGGTCCATGCAAGACAGAAGGAACCAGAGGGGGTCAGACTCACAGGACGCTCACTCTTGCCAGAACCAGCCCAGTCCCACGGTGATGCCTCTACCCATCCCTAATCACCTCTTAGATGTCCTGCCTCCCAACACTGCTGTTCTGGGAGTTACATTTCCACCAGGACCTTCACAGACAGATTCGAACCAGAGACACAACCAATTAAATCTCCACCGTGTTGCTAAGCCATTGTGTTCAGCAGACTGAGTGTATTAAATGCATTTTCGACCTATGATATTTTCAAGGTACGATAGGTTTACTGGGACCTGGAGTACATGTCTGTGACTTTGTACGCCATTTAATTTTTATGTGTCTGATGCAACGTTTTTCTATATGGTTTTAGTTTTCCACGCTTTCCCTTTTCTCGAGACTATGACAGTATCCCTTGGGGTGGGTTTCAGCAGTTGACAGTGGCAGGGGTGTCCAGTTTCCAAACTCGGAAAGCCTCTGTGTCAAATACCACTCCCCGTCCCTGTCGCCTTCAGGGCCTGTTTCCAGCCCCTCTCCTGAATTCTCTGCATAGTGCTAAGGGATCAGAATCAAGCCATCCCTCGCTGTAATTTTAGAAGCCCTCCATCAGCATTTGGCCGGGCCCGGCCAGGGCTGGGTTACCAGCTGGGTGCCAGCAAGAACTACGACGTGATCACAGAAAGCAAACAGAAGCTCTCACGGCAACAGCTGCGTGGTTGTGTTTCTGGGATGCTGTCGCCGCTTGGACCCGCACGTCCTCAGCGTGCCCCTGTGCTGAGCACAGGCGAAGTCTGAGGCCGGAGCTCTGCAAAGTCAGTCCTCTGGGCCTGGAAATCTGCTCTGGCTTTTGTCTGCTTCCTCCCGATTTCATCCACAGGAGACAAGAGCTTCTACAAACTGTCAGGGACCCCATCTTCCAACTCTGCTCAAAGCTAGAGAACAGCGAACCACGAAACAAGACTGACTAAGGTCACATGGGGGTCGGGAGTGAAGTGCTAACCGTGAATTTCACCTGGAAATCTCCCCCAAGTAGGCCGGAAGCAAGATTTGTCGTTGTTGTTGTTGTTTGTTTGTTTCCTTAAAGTGCTATGTGTCTGCTGTGTCTGAGGACCTGGGGTTGTACAACACTGCACCTGCCGCCAAAGACTCTGTAAGGGTGGCTAGATGGACAGACAGACGGATGGATGGGTGGACAGAGAGATGGAAATCCCAAAGTACAGAGTCACTGCAGACAGGACGGTGTCTTAGTCACTCTCCTCGCCACTGGGACAGAATGTGTGACGCCAGCAACATAGGGGAGGAGGGGCTCGTTCTGGCTCACAGTTAAGCCCGTGGCTGGCCGGCTCCAAAGGGAAAGCAGCGCAGCAGAGGGTCCTGACCAAGAGAAAGCTGCTCACGCCAGGCGCCGGGAGGCAGAGACGGGAGGAGCGGGCCGGGGAGATGTGCTCTTCCAGGTCACACCCAGCGACCTCCTCCGCCGGACGCCCTAGCTCCTAGCAGCACAGTTAGCCACACGCTCATCAGGGGATTAACCCGCCCACGAGGATCGCGCCCCACCACCCAGCCACCCCCACACTCTCCCCAGGGGCACATGAGGCTGGGGGGATGTAAACCATAACAGGACGGACTGTCCTTGCCAGGGCTTTACACACCGGTAGAGAAGGCTGGAAAGGGCTTAGTCACGCCCTCCCCAGCCCCGCCCAGCTCGCAGAGCGCCGGCCCACTGGGACTCGCAGACTTACTCAGCCCATCTTACTACCACTGACCAAGGGGAACGCCCTTAGTCCTCTAACCAGCAGATGCCCCTAATCACAATGCTGCTCAAGTGATTAACTGAATGAATACCTAGCATATTTACATCCTAACTTCCATGCCCTTCCCTGCTGCCGGTTGGGGACACATTAAGGTAACTGTCTCTACAGCGTGCTACGCATTGATGGTCTTCCACTGTCCACAGAGAACTGATCTCAGGACCATACTGGTCTTCCACTGTCCACAGAGAACTGATCTCAAGACTCCTGAAATTTGTGGATACTCAAGTCCCCATACACTACTCAGATATAAAGAAAGAAAGATAAACTCGAGGCTTTTATAGGTAAGTGGGTGCAACTAGAGACCATATTCATAAGTGAAATAAATCAGTCTCCCATGTGTGAACTTTGTATTGTCTCCCTAGTGTGAGAAACTGAAAGAGTAAATAAAACCCAAAATGATAATAGCTATTGCGAAAGGGAAATAAACTG